ACCTCCATCTTCTCATTTCTGATGCTGACTCTTGAATATCCTCAGGTTAGAAATGCTGATTACAAATGAGAGTGTGAGATATTATAGCTAAGTTTTCCCTGTTTTGCTATGATCCACTGCTGTCACCTTTCCTCCTCATCAACTTGAGCAAAAAGGATAAAAACTAACTACTCTATTGTACCTGCTGGTTAGTGGACACAATGGCACACAACAGAACTCACGTTTTATACCAGTTGTGACTTTTTCACGGACTAGTACTAGCAGCTAACACTAAAAACAAAGGCAGTAACCAGGAAGTGGAAGGGATGTGCTTGATCAGAATTTTACTGGAAATACATCATTAATGACCGTGGCATATAGGCTGTTACAGCATTTCTGTTCAGGATCACATTTTATTATTCAGAATTGTAATATAAAATATTCATATACAGCCTCACAGGGTGCACTCTCCATAGTGTTTAAAGTTCAGTAATTGGTTCAACAATTCTTTGAACAGTAAACGGATAAATATCAGCCCAGCAACAAACACTGTGTTGAGTATCATCCACATACAGTATTACCATCTATTGGTCTCCGGCTCAGGTTACCTTCAGGGTTTTGTGATTTGAAGGACAGATACAACAAACAGATACTATAAATACTGTAAAGTGTGTTTGTTGCAGATGTGTGATCTGGATAATGTTTGGACTTGTTCCAGGAGCTTTCAGGCAAAGACCAGGAGAAGGTGGCCGAGGTGAGCCGTGTGCGAGTTGAGCTGCAGGAGCAGATTGGGTTTTTACAGGCTGAGAGGACGGCTCAGGAGGGCCTCAAAGCTAAGATCAGTGCTCTGGAGAGAGAGCTTAAAGGTACATGCTCACCCTTTCTTTTTGTTTATACTCTTCTATCACTTCTCTCTAAAGTCAGTTTGTCCCAGACTGTGTCATTATATAACAGCATTTCTAAAAAAGAATCTAAACATTTGCTATAAGCTATAAGTAGTAAAATATTAGATATAAGCTAAAAGTAACAAAATATTAGATTTAAACTAAATAAAGTGGAACAGCAGCTAAAGGCTAGCTAAAACCTGAATGTAGCAAACATCTAGCTAAAAGTAGCAAAAGTCCAGGTCAAAATAACAGCAAGACACTAAATTATCAGAAGACAGTCTAAAAGCTAAGGTAGTAAAACGACAACTACAATTATCAGCAGGCTAGCTTTAATATAAAGTATCAAAAGGACTGGTAAAAACTAAAAATAATAGTAAAAAATAGTAAAATACTAGCTAAAACAAATTTATCTGTTGTATCTACAGGTCCTTCTCAAAAAATGAGCATATCATGAAAAGTTTCTCTAAACGACTTATTAACCAAATCATCTGAATCAACAAATTAACTCTAAACATCTGCAAAAGATTCCTGAGGCTTTTAAAAACTCCCAGTCTGGTTCATTACTCAAAACCACAATCATGGGTCAGACTGCTGACCTGACTGCTATCCAGAAGGACATCACTGACACCCTCAAGCAAGAGGGTAAGACACAGAAAGACATTTCTGAACCAATAGGCTGTTCCCAGTGGTGGACAGTAACAAAGTACTTTTACTTTATTACTGTAATTAAGTACATTTTTTGAGTATCTGTACTTTAC